TGTATAGAGTTCTTTATTATTATTAAATTAATATATACGTTGCTTATCCATTTTACACAAAGTTACTTTTCCGGTAAATAACAGAACATACTTCAAAACCAGTTGGAAATGTCTAGAGCCTTTTATGCATTCACATTCTGAGGAGCGTGACCTTTCTTCCTTTTAGTTTCATCAGCTGAAAAGTGTAGTGAATAAGTGCAAACAGTTGGAATTTACACTGTTGAGTGCTTTGCAGAGCTTACAGAATCTCTATGCATGATACAGTAGTTCCCTAGAAACTTTTCAGGATTCTTGAAAGAAATTCTGAAAAACCCTGCAGGAACCCATAAACCCCTGGAAACTGTACCACAGAGATTGCAGGCTTTTGTATGTCAGCCAACATCACTGTGTAAGTGTCTCCAGAGGAAGCGCTCCATTGCATGCAGGTAGAAAACGAAAAGGTACACTGAAAGGAAAATCATTTAAAGGCAATTTTTCTGACATTTAAAAAAAAAACCTATTAGACAATATAACTCAGAAGGTCTATCATGTCTTTCATCAATAACTGAGGAACGGGACAATCTGTGTCATATATTATTGCTATGGAGCATTTATTGCTTGGAAACAAGTCAGGACATAAATTTATCTTCAAATTTAGGTTGTTAGAATCCCTGCTGCAAGGACTGTTCTAGATATGAAATCTAAACTTCTCACAATTTTTTCCAAATTTATATAATGAGAAAATAATCTTCATCTGCTTTGTGTGGAGAGAGAAGAGAAATTAATGTTTAAAAACCCCCAAAGGTTTTGTGAAATTCTGTACAGACATATAAGCAAAAATTATGCTTTCTAAATTTCTGGGTATTTTTCTAACCATTTGATAAACAGTTGCTGAGACTTCCTTTCTTTTTTAAAAAATTCATTCACACGTCCTCATATAGGCTTAAGGTCCAGAGAGGAAGGATGGTCTTGTGGTTAAGGTACTGGACTGGAACTCATCAAACCTGGGTTCAACTTCCAAATCTACCAGACTTACTCACTGACACATCGCTGTGGCTTTAATCCCACAAAGACTCATGTAAACATGATTAATTTTATGCACAGTAATCTTGATTTAGCAAAGTACTTAAGCATGTGCTTACCTTTAAAATCAATGGGACTTAACCATGTGCTTGAAGTTACTTACATACTAAAGTGATTGCTGAAGAAGAACAGTTTCCTGAATCAGGTCCTGTGAGTAGTCCCACTGTCTTAAATGGGATTACTCACAGTGCATAGAGTTAAGCACATTCATAAATCTTTGCAGGACTGGGGCTCTGAACTCTCTGTTCTTTAAATGTGAATAATACTATTTTCCTTTTCTTCTACCTTTTCTCTTGTGTCTATTTAGATTGTAAATTCTTCAGGGCAAGAACTGTCTCTTATTTCTGAGTATGCATATTGGGTCCTGACCTCAGCTGAGCCTTGTAGGTACTACTGTAATATAAATATGCTATTCTACAATAGAAGAATCCAGGATCAAATTTGCAAAAGCACTTAAGACATTTAGGAACTTAACTCCCATTGACTTATAATGGGACTTAAGTTTCTATGGGTACATTTTCACTACCCACCGGATCGGCGGGTTGTAATCGATCTATCATCTTGTCTAGACGCGATAAATCAATCCCCGAACACGCTCCCCGTCGACTCCGGAACTCTACTAGAGCGAAAGGCGGTAGCGGAGTCGATGGGGGAGCTGCGGCTGTCAATCCCGCGCCGTGAGGACCCGAGGTAAATCGATCTAAGATACGTCGACTTCAGCTATGCTATTCACGTAGCTAAAGTTGCGTATCTTAGATCGATCCCCACCCCCCCAGTGTAGACCAGACCTTAGTGACTTAAGCACTTCTGACATTTTTGAAAAGGTTGTTGAAATACAATTATAAGATTAGATATTACCATAAAATTACACTAACAGTTTAAAAAGATTTCTTGTTTGTTAATACAGTGAAAATTTCTAGCCAAATCTACATGTAGAATATAGATCTTGAATTCTTTTCACTGAAAATGGATGGAAAGCAAAGTAGTCCTGCCTGAGGTTGTTTACAGGAAAGTAGGGTAGTTAGAATTTCCTCCCTCTGGTCTGCAACAGGAAGTTATGAAATGTACCTTGTAAGGTGTTTATTATTGTAAGCAAAAAAACAATTTCATCATCTAAACTCCTAATGCCCTTTATTTTAAACAGTAGCCTTTTTAAATTAGTGTGGGTTTCATTTTCATTGTAATTTTTAACACTCAGCAACAGAAACGTTTTTTCTCTTATAAAGGATAACTAATCAAAAAGGGAGAAGTTTACAATATTCTTGATTAGGGGGAAATTAACTTTACTGTGCAGGGGTTTTAAATTCAGCATGCTTAAGCAAAACACATTAGGACCTTCAAAAGGTTATCATCATCTAGAATTACAATAAAACACCTAACCAATACTGGATTGCCAGCAGAATTCTACTTTCTTCATTCTTGAGTTTTCCTGTGAAAATCGCCATGGATCTCACCATTAGTGAATACCATATGTAAAATCACCCATCCAAAACGATTTCAAGGTAAAGGATGGTGAAAGTAGCTAAATCTTTATTTTAATAGGAGAGTAATCATTAAAATTTCAAATAATCTTATTTTAGAAAATCCTGTTCTTCCAAATATAGTTCAAATAAATGATTTACAGTGTCATTTACATAAAAAATAATATAGAACTATATATCTGAACTACATACATTAGTATAGCCCTTAAAATGTTCTGGTGACATTATATATTACAACAACAAAGCTGAACCTTTTTGTTTGTGTCACTAGAACATCAAGGCAGATTTGCAATCTAGTATACATGGCATCCTAAACCACATTAATAAATCTGAAATTTCCTTCATTGTTCAGTAATTAATGTCAAAGAATGAAATAAAATTAATAAGTTATTTTTTTCTTTACTATACTTATGTACCTTTTAGTGCGCAATTCATTTTAAAATTCAAGATGTCAAGTGGCAAAAATTTGTAGGGGGAAGGAAGGCAAATACACAAGGCTGCTGAAAAAATCCAGAAAAAGAAAGAAAAAGAGGTTGGGGGAAACCTCAATTTTCAACCACATTAATATGAAATAATGTAATCCCCAAGACATACATAAGTTTAGGCTATTGCAGGATTCAATACTTGTGGTTTGTCACCACTCTGATGGAATTACAACCTTGTAATGTACAGCTGGAGTACATTATTCTATATATCATGTGCAGTTCTGGTGCTGTCTGTTTTAAAATATATAACAAAGAATGTTAATTACATGGTTATTTATTAACCCATTCCACTCTTCTGTTTATTGGTTCTTTCACTGCTTTCTTCTCTTCGTCCCCTTTATTTCCTCATGTTATAGCTCTCTTTTCTTCACCATCTTTTCTGTTACAATACGTATTTTTTCTCTACCCTTCAAATTCCGCTGCCTTTTCTCCTTAGTCCCTATTTCCCCACTGCAGGTTTTCTATTGAGCTTTGATTGCTTTAACCGAGTTTGGAGTTGCAAGAAGCCTGTAATTGTGATGATACACATTATGGCAAGAAAATGTACCCGCTGTCTTTTTTATTACTGCATTGATATTGGCTGTCTTCTACAGTAGAAGGGGCAGAATTGTTATGCTCTCAGCTACAAGTATTTATCCACACAGACATTGAACACTTCTTTCTATCTTGGTGTTTTTCCACATGTCAACGAAAAGTAGTCTGTCTTTAAAAGCAACAAATAATATCAAATATGTTTTCTCCTTGGTCATATCTAGAGCTGGTTGAAAAGTTTCAATATTTTTGTTTAGGAAAAACTAGCAAGAATGTTCTGATCTGGTCTAGTAATAACCTCAATGCAATTTTCCCTTCCTAAAATTTACCAATATATTTTAGATCCTTATGCTTACATTATTTCAATTCAGAAGGGAGAGTTTCCTGAAGGGACAAAATGTCAGTTCTATCTCACAAGAACCAAGGTGAGCACTCTAGCTCAACTACAGATCATCCAGAGAGGCCAGTGGTATGAGGAAGGCCAATGCAAGAAGGCATATGGGGGAGAAGAAATTTTGTCTACTAAAAAAGAGAAGGTTTTTTTGCTGCCTGGGTAGGGTAAATGTTGTTGGAGTTTCAGTTGCAAAGGACTACAAGTTATGTTGAGGATGACAGCATCTGAAATTGAGGAGCTGTGCTCTAGGCAGTGGGGCTCTATCAGCCTCTTCCTCCTCCTTCCGTATGATCCAGTTATCTCCAAGTACATCAGGGAACTGGGCACCAGCAATCTCTTGGCAAAATTTCTGCTACAGCCCAATGAATGATACTAAGAAAACTACTCAAGATACATATGAGGTGGCAATTAGAATAGTTGTCAGTACTGAACGATAATACTATATGCCGCAGTAGATTGCTGGACTGTTACAAGCTAATTCATGTTAATGTTGCTTTGCCAATTAACTGCACAGTGTGCAGAACCATTTAAAAAACAATGCAAGCTTAGATTCCCAATATGTAGCTGAAAAACAAATTTAAAACAAAATTATAAAACAGGAAAAAAAGCAAACTGTGTAAACAGGCAGCAGTAAGGAGAAAGCAACAGCATCCCTTGCTAAAAATGAGGAAGACACACACCGTTGTTTAAAAATCCTTAGTTCTATTCTCTTTAGTTAAAGGCAATTTGTGAAATCCTTTCAGGGCACATTTCAACATGTGCCAGGAACTGAACAAATGCATTTGGGTATCACTCTGAAATGATCACTTACTACTAAATTTCCTTTAGAACTTAATTACTGTTCAGCCATTAGCATTTAATTGAGAGCTACTTAATAAAATAAATAATAATGAACCTGGCCCTTTAAAAGATCTGAAAAGGGAACAGAGTATTTACATACATGCATAAAAAAAAGGTAGAGAATTTTAGAGCAGGCACTTACAGACTGAATCTACTGTGGCATGTCTGCATTTCCCCCTCCCCCCCCCCAAACAGCAGGTAACTGACCTTCCTTGAGACTTTTCTGGCTGTTCACCTCAAGACATTCCTTTTCTTTCAATGTCTCAATAGCTCCAGTAGGTAAAATCTCTGGAAAGCCCTGTTGCTGCTTCTTGGAGCTATCGATCATGATGAGACTCCTTTGAATGGCAACATCCAACATAGGAAAAAGCCCAACTTGCTACCCAGCAGTACACTGTTCAGGATACTCTGCTCCCCGCTTCCTTCTCACAGTAATTGAGCAATTATGTCTTTAAGCAGCTGAAAGCAGCCATTACTCTTTACTTCCCAGTCTGACCTACAAATACACTCAATCTGCTTGAAGCCCTTAACTCTCTTCCAGACAGGGAAACAGAGCGTCTGAAGCACAACTCCCAAATCCCACCCCCTTTCCCAGACAACCACTCTCCTTTCCCTTTTAGCTATCCTGGCTTCCTCCGTACTTTTATGTTTCAGTATGCAGCTTGATCATCAGAATCATCTGACAAACACTGAGTCAAGCAGTTAAAAATAAATCCAGCAGTTGCTGAAGGAGCAGCCTTTGCTGATACCTAAGACAAATAGTTGCTGTGGTCTCTCTTTCTAAACACTGCTGGAGGCTGTGGAACTATTACTCATTAAGTTTAATCAGTAAACAAACAGCTGTATATAAAGAAAATTATGTAAAGAATAAAGCAGGTGCTATTTTACAAAAGCATATTTACTCAGCATAGCTGCAAATCTTAAAAACAAGGGACAATTTGAAAGCAACTGATTCATGTGATTCTGTTCACGTTACAAAATGTACATATACTACCTTTGCTACACACAGATCTTACTCCCTGTAATGAATTTTTAAAACTGCAGATTTCTATTTTTTCCTTTTGCATTACACTCATGAGGCAGTAACTTTTCTTCTTGTTTCCAGCAGTCAGTCCAGAGCATTTCCTTCTTCTTATTTCCCATTCTCACCAGCATGAACCTTTTTATCTTTTATATTAGTCACCAACATACCTTTTCAGTGTCAACCAGGAGGCTGAAGTAGTTTTTCTTCAGGCTCCCTGGAATTCTTTGGCAGCACCAGGACTTGATTTTTGTGGTAATGGCAAACTTATTCTGCTGCAAATATGAGTAAACCCTATGATATTTTGCAGTAATGATGTGTGTTCTCAGTTTATTGTTGGCTGCAAAATTCCACTGCAATCCTCTTGTGTGCATGTGTTTTAATACAGCATATATCCTTAAATGTGTAGATGACCAGCTTAAGCAAAGTTATATTTTACAGCTGTGATTTTCAATACAAGGCTAAAGGACAAACATTTATTTAAAAAAAATATGGTCAGGATCACTTAAATGTTAAGAGGCTTAGTCGTAAGACCTTGCAATATTTCCTAAACATACCTTTAATTCTATGAACAACTTTTGCCTGTCACATAACAAAAGAGTATACAATTGAAAGAGTACTTGTATGTTCATAAATCAGGTTAAGATTTTTATCATGGTTATTTTTAGTAAAAGTCACGGACAGGTCCTGGGCAATAAATAAAATATCACGGAAGCCCACGACCTGTCTGTAACTTTTACTAAAAATAACTGGGAGTAGGAAACAGGAGGGGCAGCTGACTGCCTAGGGGGACCGAAGCCTGAGCCCCACAGGGAAGGGTGGGGGCTGACAACTCCAGCCCCTGCCACAGTGGCTGCAGCGGGGGCTGAAGCTGAAGAAGTCATGGAGGTTCATTAAAGTCACGGAATCTATGACCTCTGTGACCAAACTGTATCCTTATTCATAAACTAAGGTGTTTTGATCTATGTGCTAATGTGAGCACAAAATACTTTCCCTATATCTTTGGTGACTCCATTCTGTGCATTAAAAATGAATATTCAAGTGCAATGCTCAAACAGGTATCTAAAATTCCCTTTACTAAGTGTACCAATCAAGAATTTGGTCTTATGTAACTATTTCTATATATATATAATGTACCTCTACCTTACCACATGTTCAAAAGGAATTTTTTTGATTATTAACCAGTCTGCCTAGAAAATTTTCCACTTATATATAATTTTGGGCAACATTTTCAAGTGGGTACCCCTCCTTTTCAATGGACACAATTTACAACTGCAATTAAACTATGGGTGAAAATATGAATATTTGCACGTCTAACCACCTGACTGCAGGCACAAGTTGTATATTTAAGTAGTCTGAATTGTGCCAACAATTCATTTGAGTGTATTTTATGGGCACAATTCCCATCCTCATCAAGGGAGGCTAGCACTTCAGCTCTTTGAAAAACTACTTCTTTATGTATTTCTTTTCCCTCGTTCTTTAATATTAAGAATGTCTGAAAGATTATTTGATCTTTTAAGGATTTATTAAGTTCTGATGGGTAATACTGAAAGCCACAGTTCTCTGTTTGCAGCACCACAACTAACTTTTGAAATGATTTTGATGTAATGACTAGAGAATTAACTTTATGTGTCAAATAAGGAGGATGAGTTAACCAGTCTGTTTTCACAGGAAAATAAAATACAGAAAATATATAACCTATCACATTTAATTTTAAATAGAATAGCATAGGCTGCAAAGTTTTTCAACAATATTTAAGAAGATTTTAAACATTTTGCTGTTTACTATATCAAGAAGTATTTAAAAATTATTTGGTATGCAAGACATCTTGAAGTATTGACAATTCTCTTTGGCGCTAACCGTGCAAGCACAAGTGTAAGTTTTCTCACAAGTAGGCCCATTGACTTCAAAGTTATGGAAATGTGTGTTTTCAGAAACTGGCATAATATGAACATTTTGAGTTTTAAAGTTACTATATATGCCACAGGAGAAAAGGTTACTTTTTCTTAATTTTGTTTTTCAAGTCTTCTTATGTTAAGCCAAAAGAATGGACATTGTCCACTTTTCTTATCCTCTCATCACAATACAAAAATGAGAGAATTGGACCTCTTGAATACTAAGGTACAGGTAAGGCAAATATGCAATGTCTTCTTAATGCTAAAGCCTTTTTCATTCTCCTTACTAACTGCAGGATGCAAAGAGGGTAAGGAGATTTCCTAACTAAAGTGAAAATTTGAAAGGATCTTAGATTTAAAATGTGGAATAGCTTTAATGAGCAGTTTGTATTGGAGGTAAATTAACTAAAGCTACATGCCTAAGAGTGCTGTAATTCTCCCCACTCTCCTAGCTGATCAAATGGCCATCTTTTGCATCAAAGAATCTTTCTAACAAACTCAGAGAACTGTATTCAGGCCCAGGTTCATCTCCCAGTGAGACAGAGGGAACCTCATTCTGAAGTGCTGCTAGCTACTCTAAAACAAAACAAAACAAAACAAAACAAAACCCTCAATATGTGGGGTGAGATCCCACAGACCCTAACTTATGTCTAATGATGGAGCACTTCAGTCTGAAACCACAAGAACTGTCCACAATTGAGCAGCACAATGATTTCACTTTTCTTTTTTTGCAAAAGAGTTGAAGACTTTTCCACATACTATAACAAACTTATGATGTAGATTTTTTTTATTGGAAATTGAAAAGAGTAGTAATCACCTTGCCTTTTCAGGAAAACCTGAAATGCTGTAAGACACAGCGGAGTGCAGACTCCTGACCTAAAAGATCTTTTTGGAGAATAAGCCAAAATAGGGAAGCTATTGACATGGCAAGGACTTCATGATGAATGAGTTTGGCACAATTCAGATGAATAGCAAAGTCCTTTCCCTTCACTATCTTCTTCAGTATTCTTCCTTAGATAGGAAGCAGATGGAAAATAGAGACCAGGTCAAAATTTCATACATAAGAGGATATAAACGTGTAGAGACTTCAAGACTACTGAAAAACATTATTATCTTGGCATTTGACAGTTGGAAACCCTATCAATCAACCACCAGTCTTAAGAAAAATGGGTCCATCTTGGAGACAGAATTAATTCTTTATGTTTTTAAGGATCAAAAAATATAATTAGCTCATATAGGACAAGCACAGAAAAGAATGTCACTAGTTATTTCAGAGACAAAAGGCATCATAATATGTGCATCATAATTGTTTTCAAGCTGGTTCTGCCCTCTAAAAATCTGATGTTTGCAAACTGCTTATAATAGATGATATATGTCTATTTTAAATGACATTTTGCTTAAATCCATAATATATAAGATCATATTCATTTGTGCTGTAATACATCTGATTTCATACTAATTTTAACTGTGCAAAAAAACAAAAACAAAAAAACCTTACTATGCAAGAAGTCCTGCATAAATCAACTCAATTTTCCCATTGCCTTAGTCCAAACACTTATTACGCATGAGAAAAATTATACTGCTGAGAAGCTAGGCACAGCCAAAGAAGGACTTCCAGGCAAGAAGAATACAAACATTGCTCAAGGGACCTATATGAAAATTTGGCAAGGTCAATATATTCTTACACAGTTACAGATACACCAGACTATTATTTTACAGATTCTTTGTTGCTATAAAATACAATAAAATAGTGAGCAAATTATTAGTTAAACTGAGTTGATAACAGAGTATCAGAAGATACAAACAAAAAAGATTTAGGGGGAAATTATATGTTTTGTATGTTAAAAAAGTGGGGGTTTTAAATACCATTTTGATCCTGAAACAATTCCAAAATGATTCAGAGAACAGACTCAGATCAAATACAAACATGATTAACAAGAAAATCTACCATGAAAAATACTAGAGGGTGATCACTTGAACTTCATATGTCACAAAAGAGAAGACATTAGCACTGGGAACACAGGGAGGTAGCAAGCAAATGATTAAGGAATCCTGAAGACTGCATGTAGATCTCTGAAAACTGGAATGAAGATGAAAGCAAAGGAGATAAAGTAGAGAGCGGAAGATACGAGGAAGGAACAAGATAAGAAGGCCAGTATTACTGGGAAGACTGCAATCAGATGTTCCTCTCTACTGTTATCCTTATTCAAAGTTTGGAAATATGACAGTTTATACATCAATACTTTCATGTGCCTGTTGTAAAAATTATATCTTTTACTATATATTGCTATATTAAAGTGACATATTAAAGGAGTTATTATCTCAAACCTGACAAATATTTTAATTGTTATATTCTCTTGGAGAACACTGTTCCAATACTATACACATATTTTTAACTGCATGTCACTGACAAGAATTTTTAAAGGCATTTTTGTGGGTGCCACAAAAATAATGCACAACCTGGCTATATTTGCCATTGGCAGTTGTAATTAACTACTTCAGAACTACGTACAATTCTGCAGACATCTTCATTGAAAATAATGCACAAACATAGAGCTTAGAAATACAGTGAGACTAATACTCTGCAAGCATTAAAAGACAGCTAAGACATAAAATAATTTCCTAATATTATTTTTCCATATAAGCAAATGCTGTAGTTGCCAC